TATGGTCACCTGTAGTGGTTATTTTGTTTTATTTTAATTTTATTCGGCTGATATTTTTTTGCATTTTTATTTAATTTAGACTTGAAAATGGATGACTGTTATTTAATCCCAGTAGTTTCAATGTTTTTAAAATTTTGGTCACTAGTGTATTTATTTTGTTTTGATTTTACTGCTTAATTTTTAATTTATCTTAACCTAGTCCTTTCATTGCATGCTAATATCTACTATAAAATGGGTAAAAAACCCAAACAAAAAACAAAGTAAAACGACAATTCTTCTGGAATAAAAAAGGAACCGAAAAATTCCAAACTCAAAGGTATTTAGCCACCGCCGTTCTATTTTTCATTCTGGGTGTGCATGTTGTGTTTTGTTATTCGAATGTAATGCTAATAAAAAGGAAAGATGGAGGAAAAACTTATCTTGACTGTCGTGTTTCGTCAGAGGTAGAGGGGTTGTCGGGGAGATTCTTTTGGATGGTCTTGGGTTAGGTTTGGGGTGTTTGGCCATCGTGGATGTTGGTCGGCTCTAGGGGTCGGTCACAGCGGCGCGAGGATAAAGATATGGCCTTCTTGGCCTTGGAGAGGAAAGGGAGGTCTTGGTATAGCGAGGTGTTACACTGGTTGGGGTTTCCAGCACCTCGATGTGTGATAACCGAGGTTGAGTGGCCTCTATATAGGGTGACTGGGTGCGGGCTTTGTTGGATTTTAAGGTGCCGGCTGCCATGAGCTTTGAAGGAGGGGAGGAGCTGAAAAAGTTTTAGGTTTGGTTTTGGTTTTCTCGGACAGAAACAAAGATGGGAGGGGGATATTAAGCTTTTTTAATTTTTTGGGCTAATTACAATAAGGACCCTATATCTTTAGAGTGATTTTACATTTTGGTCATTAGGTTGGAGGTTAATCACCCACAGGTCCCTTTATTTTAGGCTTTTTATGTCTGGTCACTAAAGTAGGGTCTAATGAGGTTTTTAGTCCTCCTTTTTAGCCTGTTACTCATTTAAGCCATATGTTTAAGGAAAAATCATATATAGGTTCCCCTAAGTTTAATATTTTTTGCATTATGGTCACCTGTAGTGGTTATTTTGTTTTATTCTAATTTTATTGGGCTGGTATTTGTTTTGCATTTTTATTTAATTTAGACTTGAAAATGGATTACTGTTATTTAATCCCTGTAGTTTCAATGTGTTTTAAATTTTGGTCACTAGTGTATTTATTTTGTTTTGATTTTACTGCTTAATTTTTTAATTTATCTTAACCTATTCCTTTCCTTGCATGCTAATATATACTATAAAACGGATATAAAACCCAAACAAAAAATAATGTAAAACGACAATTCTTCTGGAATAAAAAAAGGAACTGAAAAATTCCAAACTCAAAGGTATTTATCCACTACCGTTCAATTTTTTATTCTGGGTGTGCATACTGTGTTTTATCATTCGAAAGTAATGCTAATAAAAAGGAAAGATGGAGGAAGAACTTATTTTGACTGTTGTGTTTCGTCAGAGGTAGAGGGGTCGGGGAGATTCTTTTGGCTGGTTTTGGGTCTGGTTTGGGGTGTTTGGCCATCGTGGATGTTGATCGGCTCTAGGGGTCGGTCACGGCGACGAGAGGAGAGAGATATATCTTTCTCGGCCTAGGAGAGGAAAGGGAGGTCTTGGTATAGTGATGTGTTACGCTGGTTGGGGTTTCTAGCACCTCGACGTCTGATAATCGAGGAAGAGTGGCCTCCCATATAGGGTGGCTGGGTGCGAGCTTTGGCTCCTTTGAAGGTGTCCGCGCCGTGAGCTTTGAGAGATGGGAGGAGCTGAAAAAAATTTAGGTTTGGTTTTGGTTTCCTCGGGCAGAAATGAAGCTGGGATGGGGGATATTAAGCTTTTGTGATTTTTTGCGCTAATCACAATAAGCTCCTTATACCTTTAGAGTGATTTTACATTTTGGTCATTAGGTCGTAGGTTAATCAATCAAAGGTCCCTGTATTTTAGGCTTTTTATGTTTGGTCACTAAAGTAGGGTCTAATTAGGTTTTAGTCCTCTTTTTTAATATGTTATTCATTTAAGCCATCTGTTTAAGGCAAAATCACATATAGGTTCCCCTAAGTTTAATATTTTTTGCATTATGGTCACCTGCAGTGGTTATTTTGTTTTATTTTAATTTTATTGGGTTGATATTTTTTGCATTTTTATTTAATTTAGACTTGAAAATGGATGACTATTATTTAATCCCTTTAGTGCAATGTGTTTTAAATTTATGTCAGTAATGTATTTATTTTGTTTTGATTTTACTGCTTAATTTTTAATTTGTCTTAACCTAGTCATTTCCTTGCATGCCAAAATTTCTACATTAAAATGGGTATAAAACCCAAACAAAATCAATGTAAAACGACAATTCTTCTAGAATAAAAAAAATAGTAACCAAAAAATTCCAAACTTAAAGGTATTTAGCCATCGTCATTCTATTTTTCATTCTGGGTGTGTATGCTGTGTTTTTTCATTCTAATGTAATGCTAATAAAAAGGAAAGATGGAGGAAGAACTTATCTTGACTGTTGTGTTTTGTCAGAGGTAGAGGGGCTGTCGGGGAGATTCTTTTGGCTGGTTTTGGGTCCGGTTTAGGGTGTTTGGCCATCATGGATGTTGTTCGGCTCTAGGGGTCGGTCACGGTGGCGCAAGGATAGAGATATGCCTTTCTCGGCCTAGGAGAGGAAAGGGAGGTCTTGGTATAGCGAGGTGTTACCCTGGTTGGGGTTTTCAGCAGCTCGACGTGTGATAACCGAGGGAGAGTGACTTCTATCTAGGGTGGTTAGGCGCGGGCTTTGGCTCCTTTGAAGGTGTCGGCCGCCGTGAGCTTTGAGGGAGGGGAGGAGCTGAAAAAGTTTTAGGTTTGGTTTTGGTTTTCTGGGGCAGAAAAAAAGCTGGGAAGGGGATATTAAGCTTTTGTGATTTTTTTGGCTAATCACGATAAGGTCCCTATACCTTTAGAGTGATTTTACATTTTGGTCATTAAGTCGTAGGTTAATCACCCATAGGTCCCTTTATTTTAGTCTTTTTATATCTGGTTACTAAACTAGGGTCTAATTAGGTTTTTAGACATCCTTTTTAGCATGTTATTCATTTAAGCCATCTGTTTAAGGAAAAATCACATATAGGTTCCCCTAAGTTTAATATTTTTTGCATTATGGTCACCTGTAGTGGTTATGTTGTTTTATTTTACTTTTATTGGGTTGATATTTTTTTGCATTTTTATTTAATTTAGACTTGAAAATGGATGATTGTTATTTAATCCCTGTAGTTTCAATGTGTTTTAAATTTTGGTCACTAGTGTATTTATTTTGTTTTGATTTTACTGCTTAATTTTTAATTTATCTTAACCTAGTCACTTCCTTGCATGCTAAAATTTCTACATTAAAATGGGTATAAAACCCAAACAAAAAACAATGTAAAACGACAATTCTTCTCGAATAAAAAATAGGAACCAAAAAATTCCAAACTCAAAGGTGTTTAGCCATCGCCATTCTATTTTTCATTCTGGGTGTACATGTTGTGTTTTGTCATTCGAATGTAATGCTAATAAAAATGAAAGATGGAGGAAGAACTTATCTTGACTGTCGTGTTTCGTCGGAGGTAGAGGGGTTGTCAGGGAGATTCTTTTGGCTGGTTTTGGGTTCAGTTTAGGATTTTTGGCCATCGTGGATGTTAGTCGGCTCTAGGGTCGGTCACAGAGGCGTGAGGATAGAGATATGACCCTCTCGGCCTAGAAGAGGAAAGGGGGACTTGGTATACCGAGGGGTTGTACTGGTTGGGGTTTTCAGCGCCTCAACATGCGATAACCGAGGGATAGTGGCCTCCAATGTAGTGTGGCTGGGCACGGGATTTGGCTCCTTTGAAGGTGTCAGCCTTTGTGAGCTTTGAGGGAGGGAAGGAGTTGAAAGAATTTAGGTTTGGTTTTGGTTTTCTCGGGCAGAAACGAACCTGGGAGGGGGATATTAAGCTTTTGTGAATTTTTGGGCTAATCATGATAAGGTCCCTATACCTTTAGAGTGATTTTACATTTTGGTCATTAGGTCATCGGTTAATCAATCACAAGTCCCTGTATTTTAGGCTTTTTATGTCTGGTCACTAAAGTAGGGTCTAATTAGGTTTTTAGTCCTCCTTTTGAGCTTGTTATTCGTTTAATCCATCTTTTTAAGGAAAGATCACATATAGGTTCCCCTAAGTTTAATATTTTTTGCATTATGGTCACCTGCATTGGTTATTTTGTTTTATTTTAATTTTATTGGGTTGATATTTTTTGCATTTTTATTTAATTTAGACTTGAAAATGGATGTATGTTATTTAATCCCTATAGTTTCAACGTGTTTTAAATTTTGGTCACTAGTGTATTATTTTGTTTTGATTTTACTGCTAAATTTTTAATTTATCTTAACCTAGTTCTTTCCTTGCATTCTAATATCTATAGTAAAACGGGTATAAAACCCAAACAAAAATCAATGTAAAATGACAAATCTTCTGGAATAAAAAAGGAACCAAACAATTCCAAACTCAAAGGTATTTAGCCATCGCCATTCTATTTTTCATTCTGGATGTGCATGATGTGTTTTGTCATTCGAATGTAATGCTAATAAAAAGGAAAGATGGAGGAAGAACTTATCTTGACTGTTGTGTTTCGTCGGAGATAGAGGGGCTCTCGGAGAGATTCTTTTGGCTGGAGTTTGGGTTTTTGGCCATCGTAGATGTTGGTCGGCTCTAGGGGTCGGTCACGGCGGCGTGAGGATAGAGATATGGCATTATCGGCCTAGAAGAGGAAAGGGAGGGATTGGTATACCGAGGGGTTCTGCTGGTTGGAGTTTTCAGCATCTCTACGTACGATAACCGAGGGAGAGTGGCCTCCAATATATGGTGGTTAGGCGCGGGCTTTGGTTCCTTTGAAGGTCTAAGTGTAACCCCCTCAAACCGATGCGGGTAACCCGATTCGGTCTGGGTTGTCACATTAGGGTCACCGGAGTGACCCACTGTAAAAATAACAGAAAATTTAAAACTTTTTTTCAGAACATGTAAACTTATAAAATCATTTGTCACTATTTAAAAATTAAACAGATTTTAAGACTCGTATATAAAACAAAATACAATTACATGCCCCCTAATCACATGTACCATACTCTACAACAACGCCGAAAAAACTCCCTTACTGATGTCGATAGCTGCACTGGTACAATTCTTTTAACCTGCAATGCTGAGTAATAGAGTGAGCTTCGGAAAGCTCAGTAATACAGAACTATCAGATGATGCTGAAGAACTTACAGATACAGATAAACATACATTTCCTTATTGGTTCAGATATCTACAGATTTTTAGGCTAAGTTGAGGTCCATTGATATCGCAGGTAGTAACAGATAATAATCATTTCAGATGGTAATATTTCAGATGTTTAGGTTCAAGAGATCAGAATAGGTTTTCTAATGTGTTCCCGTAAAACTAGTAAAAAGATACAGATCTTTTAAAACATATATATATATATACCCCTATCCGTTCACATCATAAATGTGCAGGTTCCTCAGAATCATACACCCAACCACACATGCCATTTAGACCATGAGCACAAAGCCGAGGAGTCTGCAAATAATCTTCCTCCAACAATAAACCCCAGATTAAACATTTCTTCGTCGGTAAACGGAGATATCAAAAATCAAAACATAATTCAGATCAGATATCAGAACAGAATCCAGGTTAGGAATCATAACAGATTTCAGATCAGATGTCAAAACAGAATTCAAATCAGAAATCAGATAAAATATTTATATAAGTAGGGAACACACTAGAGTTTCCATATATTATTTAGAGATACAAGATAATCTTATCGGGCAGAGAAACACAAATCTTCAGTTTACCGATAGAATACTGGAAATTAGAATCACTATTAGAAGATTTTGTTAACTGACAAAATCATCAGTTATTCATAATATGCTTATCATGATCATCTTATTCGGACATTTATCGTAAGCTCTACGTAATCAGAAGGGTATTCAAAATTCTTTACATATGAGTTACTTATGTTTTCATACATGATCAAAGTGATTTGAGCTGATAAGGAACAACGAAGATTGAGGACCTTTAAAATCTATGTCGATTGATCAAATTATCGAACAACTCCATATGAATAACTCCCAGAACTAATACTTGTCAATTTGTCAAATTCATTAACCTTCCAGGGTATTTACTCTTTAATACCAAATATTCTTATCCATAGATCACCTTCTGAGTCATCACTCAACAGATCTTAAGGAGACTAACAGATATTCTAATGGTCTTTATTTCATTTCCATGTGTCAACTATATCAGGAAATGCCGATGTACTTGATTTGTGGTTCATAATCCATAGGGATGATACATCACGTAAGTTCATCCGAGTTTTCATGCTTATTCCAATCTCTTACTTAATCCTCAGTCCTTGAGGTTACCTAGTTCATTTAGCAGTCAAGTCTATTCCAACTACTTCAGAATTTTCCAGAGTAATTCCGGACGTTTTTGAATTTCGGATACATATTGTACTTCCTTTCAGTTCAGTTAGGCTTCGTAGTTGATTTGTCGAACAAATATAAAATTCTTAGTATTGAATGCGATCTAAAGTTGCTGAACTGAATATTTCCAAAATTATCATCGAACAAAACTTGAGAAGACGAACACGCGTTCGAATAATATCTATGTCATTCAGGTACTGACATATCATTAAGGTTGATCAGCTCACTTAAGCTGTGATCCATAACTTTTAAAGGTAGTCCCACACCTCTGCTTATTTAGATTCCTTAATTAATTCAAGACATTTACTTAGTATAGGCTATAAGGGTATTTTGGTAATTTTGGTGTTCCATTTTATTCCATTTATTTTAGAGCTCGAGGATATCCAATCATTCCTGAGCTTGATGGTATTCTTGGGTCATTTCCATTACAGGGGTATTCTGGTCATTCTACAGATCCGATGTATTTCAATAATTTCCTTCCATCCTATCTTATTATTTAATTCCAATTTATCATCTATTTCAGTCCCTTCGAACAATTCTGATAAAAGAGCACCCTCCGATAAATTATTCTTCAGGTATTTACTCATAACTCAGATATTTTCGGGTCGTGTGCCTTCTCAGATTTTTACCAACGGAATATCAAGAATTCTTCTGCACTAAGTCCGGATCTTAACAATCAAATTCGTACTTAATCAAATTAAGTACAAATCCTCAAAGTACTTTCTCATTCAGGGTCAACTCAGACTATTTTACCTCTCAAGGGCATTTTCGTAATTTCTTAACCAGATAATTTCGATATTAGCTCCTAATGAAAATAATTATAATTTAAAGATCATATGGTCAAATGCTTTCCCGAACATTCTCTGATCTTGAAATTATTCCTTAACAAACTTTTAGCATCTTGCAGAAACCATTTTTGGCGTTAAAAACTAGCTATCCAAATTTTCTAAACAAAACTATCATTTCTTATGCACATTTGTAATTATATCAGATCAATATGTCCTTTCAGAGTTATTAACCAACTTCCAGGGATAATTCTTATCATCCAACAACATAAGGGTATTTTCGTAATTTTACCCTACCGGAGTATTTTCATAATTTCCCATCCAAGTACCTTTAGCATTTAACCTTTGATGATATAAAATATAAGTTACAAATCCAGGGCTGATTTCTTTATCACTAATCACAAACTTGTAATTTAATTCTAAAAATTCCTCAATCTCTTATATTAGTCATTCGATCCGTATTCAGTTACAGAATTTCTACCACATTCATATCGAGTGTATAAATTATTCAACTCCACAAAAGTGACCAACATTATCTTATTCATGCATTTACCAATATCAACATATTACATAAAGCATAAAGAGGTAGTAAAGTATTACCTCGATTTTTGTGCCATACTGATCGACCATAATAATTCCATTCGAATACCCTCAATCTTGAAATCATCTTCCAATATTTCCTCAGATCCATATCAACAGAAATTACATAAAAAACGGATCTTAATTCTGAAAAACAGATCGAATCAGATACTAAATCAGTGAAAAACACCTTACAGGGTTCGAATTTGGCGAAACGGACTTCAGATTCGGATTCAGGACGTCGAAAGCATAAAATATGACTTTTCAAAAATTTGGAATTTTCGGTCAAAATCAAAGTCAACGGGTTTGACTGGCAATTTCGAGGCCTTCAGGTCAGAATTTTGAAAAACAGACTGCGGAATCGGATTTGGAACGTCGAAAAACGTCAGGATAGGTATATTCGGCCGAAGTCAAAGGTCGTTTAATGCCCGATCAAAGCCGGTCAAAGTTTTGGTCAACTGTGGTCAACGCCGGTCAATGGTCAACAGTCGACCATTTTACACAAATATCACCCTAACAGAAATTAGTTACCAAAATTATCACCCAGACGATGACCACTCTCAGGGGTGGCGCATGCGGCGCGTGAACAGTAACCCGGTGTCGGAAAATTCCTGGAAAAATTCCTAAAAATTATTTTAAGCAATTTTGAGGTACTTACAAAGCTCGGTTCATAATTTTCAACGGCGGAGAGCTCGATTCCAAAACGTCGGAAACTTTGACGGTCTCACCCCTCCACGCACCGGCGACGACGGAGAAACGGAGAACACCGGTGAACTCGGAACGATGCAAGGAATACGATGGTGCGGGAGGTGTCGTAAACGGATGACCGGATCGTCGTGAATCAACGAGAAACCAACTGAAACTGAGTTATTACTGACGATACTTCCGACTGAAATTAATGACGAACGACGACGATTCACAACGAAAGGTTTGAGGGGTTTTGTTCCTCGATCGACAACGAACACGATGTTGGTTTCGGTTCGTCGATCGGAGGTCGGACGGCGAGTAGATCGGAGTTGAAAGGAGGGTTGTTGGAGAAGGAAAAACTGGAAAATGTGAGAACCTGTGCACGGGGATGTGGTTTATAATTCAACTCATAATAAAAATGGGTAAACTGAGAGTTTAGTCACTGAACTTCCTGCACTTCTTAAAACGGTTGGCCAACTTTAAAATTTTACAATTTAATCCACCGTTTCTTTCAAAATACCAATTAAATCCACCACTTTATAATTTTTTAAATTTAGCCCCAAATTCGGGGTGTTACAATTCTCCACTCCTTAAAATAATTTCGTCCTCGAAATTCATTCATGTCACATTATTACAGAAATGAAACTTACATCAGTTCTTTTATATCTTTAAGTAGCTTTTACAAAAGTACGTTTCCTCTACTAATCTTTAACCAGCTGAGTATACATTCTCATCAGAATTCTTCCTCACTCCAAGTAAATAATCAAAACAACTTTATCCTTGTGAAATCAATTCAACATTGGTTATGTGAATAGGCTCACAGAGCAACAGCATATCCCAATTTCATTTCTGGAGTCGGGTCAGCATTTCTCGGATAATTAACCCTCACATGGCTCGGGGGTACTTTACAGCGTTTAGACAGATGTTACTGGTATTTCTTTTTGTACAAGTATAGCCTTAACGGATAGAAACTTCGGTTTACTCGTTACAGGTAGGGACTCAACCCTGGAGTTCCGGCTCAGAGAGGTACGTTTGAAGTCTAGGGGCATGTACTGATCAGGTATATTTTGACATTCGATCGGCCGGTCTATCTTGAAAAATTTTGTCTCAAACCATAGCTCTGACACCACTAAATGTAACCCCCTCAGACCGATACGGGTAACCCGATCCGATCTGGGTTGTCACATTAGGGTCATCGGAGCGACCCACTGTAAAAATAACGAAAAATTTAAAACTTTTTATCAGAACATGTAAACTTATAAAATCATTTGTCACTATTTAAAAATTAAACAGATTTTAGACTCGTATATAAAACAAAATACAATTACATGCCCCTAATCACATATACCATACTCTGCAACAACGCCGGAAAAACTCCCTTACTGATTTCGATAGCTGCACTGGTACAATTCTTTTAACCTGCAATATTGAGTAATAGAGTGAGCTTCGGA